GGGAGAGGCGGGAAGAGGCGGGGCGCTGTTTTCCTTGCCTTGTTACCGCGCGCTCGCGAGAGCTCGCGTTCCACCTCAGCCTCACAAACGCGCTATCTTCGGTCCAATGCCTTCGGAAATGTCGCGCTCAGGAGACAGCTCCGTCTACTCAAGCGTTCTTGCGGATGCGAAGAGTCAAAACATCCTCCGCAATATTCTATAAGATTCTCTTTCATTTCATATTATAGTGACAGTGTTTAAAATATGTAATTATATACTTAAGTGGGGGAATAGCAAAATATACTCCTAATATGAATGGGTGAAAACAAGAACGGTATAAGGGACATTTTATAAATTTTGTAAAATAGATGTTTATTTTAAGTTACTTGACAGTGGTAATGCATTTTAGTAGCATTAACGAACAGTTGAAACTCCACGGTTTCAATGATGAAACAAAGCACCACGACTTTACAGTGGTGTTGACAGATTTCTGAGAATAAATATATAAGGGACACACAGGATAAACAGATTTCTCAGAATTTACAAAATGTTCCTTATACCGTTCTGATTTTCACCCATTCATATACTTCATCAATCAGAAAATTTAGTTCGATTACCCTCTAAGATTTACTTCATTATTTTTAGATATAAAAAAAGAATTTTATTACTAAAATACAAAAAAATATTTGTTATTACAAAACAAAGTCCTTTCGTCTGAAATGCACGCAAGGCGTCTAAAAATAATTTGTCCAAAGATCATCGAATAGTTTCCCCGCAAGTTACTCCCAACTGAGGACCTATCAGTGTTCCCTGCAGCTGAATCAACACGAAACGACTCGTCCGTTCAAAAGCAGAGTGAACAATGGGACGCGAGAGGAGAAGGAAGCCGGATTTTTTCGGCGCCGTGTGCGCGGCTACCGCACTGACAGCAATGTATGGTGGGAAACCTACCTGCCAGGGGCAGCCGTCGTTCGTGTTGTTCCGCAGTTAGCGGGTCTCGCTTACATTCGAGAGATCTTTTCGCTTCGGTTTCATTGCATCGGGTCGGATAACGAGAGGAGAAATCTTCTGAATTCGATATCCCCTGCAATAAAAGAAAAAGACCCGCTGCAAACTAAGCAATGAAGAGCCGGCGTGATCACATGAAAACTGCCGTTTGAATTCCATTACCAGTGAAAGTTTCAAACGAGGATAAAAATAAGAAGGCTTCTTTTTATTTTGACCTTCTTTATAACATCGAAGCTGGAATGTAACCACTTCGTTATGTTGTTCTTGCATGCGACAAACCGGTCCAGTTTTTTTTTAAATTTCCGATATTTGTTTGACGTTTAGTGGGAATACATGTTAAGTGTTTTCATTGTTTACAACAATGTAATGTAATCGGGAATCGTTTCGCCGTATGTTCTGTTTCGAACTTAGGAAGATAAAACATACTTAAAGAACACATTGAATGAAATAGAAATGCAGATAAACAAAATGGTTATTGTCTAAATGAAAACAATTACATATTTGATTCAATTATTGAAACTGATAGAACTACCTTTTTCATTGTTTGTAATGGAAGATGAAATCTCGAATATTTATCGAAAGAACTACTTTAATTAGAAATGGTTTTAAAATATGCACTTCTCCAAAATATAAAGATCCTTGATACTGTTGTTATCGTTCTAGGCCAGTGTCGCCAAGTAGTGCTCCGCGCAACAGCTGGTGGGAGCAATGTAGATGCGGAAATCGTTCGCCTATTCTGCTAATACCGAACCCGTAGGCAACTCTTGTTAGACATAGGGAAATCAGACTGAGAAATTCATCCCGCGGGCCACGTTAGGTGATGAAAAAGGGAATAACGAGTTAGATAGTACGGTGGCCGCACCTGGAGAACAAGCCTCTCCCAGCAAGCAGGGCTAAAAGGCGAATCTAGGTGGAGCTAGACCCCTCTCCCAGACATTTTAAAATCAACTTTTTGCCTTTGTGATTTTGATCATCAATGTTGGTACAATGAGGTTTGATAGTTGGTTTATTTTTGCGGCTTACGATTGCCACCTGCCTGAGTGAGAGCGAATTTCTTATTTTATATTGAAAGAAGTGCGGTGTGACTCAATCTCTCAGCAGATTTCCGAAGTTATAAACGTGCAGAGTGCTTTAGAACTCTGAAGGTGAATGCGAATCTCTTCGATATGGAAGTTGTTTAATCAAGTAAGTACTATCCTCCGGCATCAACAAGATTGTTATCCATCGCTCCTCTTCGCGTAAAACAATCTGTGAATTAGGAGTGGCGCGCGAGTCAAATTTTACCCTTTTTGACTCTCAAGTAGATTTTTAACTAAGTGGATTAATCGGAATTACATATAAAAAATGCATCACTTCATTGTTGGGAATGTGTACTTTACGATGCATTGAGTTTCAAGTCCAACTACGTCCAAATAAATTATTTTTCATTTTAGATGACGTATAGTCAATCTCCGTGATCTGTTTCTCACTGCGCGCAGAAAAGAAACTATTGTGTTCTGTGAAGGATAAGCTAAATTTTCGATAATGCGAATAAAGAACGGAGAAATGCCTAAAAGACACCTTAGAAGTATTTTACGGCAATTTTGTGGGTAGGTGGAGAAATGCCGCTACGAGAATCTCTGCTTTATTAAAAAGTATTGTTGATGACTAGATATTGCTCTTCAATTCCCTGATATAATACGGGTACGAGTAGACAACAGTAACTCATTCTAGTATAATGGAAACTACTCCATCTTCCGGTTCAGGCACAAGGGACCACGGAAAAGCTTCAATGAATCTACTAAGAGGGGTAAGAGGAAGCGCATTCAAACATTAATTGTATCGCCCTAGAAGCAAGAAATTGTGTACGCAGCAAGACATTCAATGCATACGCCCCGTTAAATAGATGCGGCCAACATATTACACGAGATGACCACAATTTCTGCCAAAGCTGCTAAATTTAAAAAATATTTTTCTCCAGTACCTTTTTCCTTCTCCAGTACCATTTACTGGCCAAGAAACTTTGGCATTTATGGTAGAGAATCTCATGAAATAGCGGCAATATATTAATATTAGATCGGAAACAAAGAGACTATATATATATATATATATATATATATATATATATATATATATACACCAGAATACCAAATGTGAATATTATCCATAAAATGAGGCAATACAATTGTCTGTTACTCTTGTCGAAGTTAGTCTTTATGGTGTCATGGACGTAACGATAAGAGAACTTGATTTATATCAAGAAATTTTTAAAAATGAATTTAAATAATTTAAATATTGAGGAGAATTTACGGCTTTTGTGTAGGTGGGGCTGTGATGGTAGCAGCGATTACAGAACTCACAAACAAAGGTTTTCTTCTGGAAGTGATGTAAGGCGAAGATATTTTGATTGTGTCTCTTGCCGCCTGCAGCAAATTTCATCACTTGATGAGCATGTCGACAAAAGATATTTTGGCAGAATCCAAGGCCGTCTTCTACGAGAATTTGTAGGGCAGTTAAAACTGTAGTGAAAAACGAGACATCCAAAATGAGAATCAAGGAAATAAAAGAAATTGAAAGGCAAAAATTAAGCACTAGTTCTCACACGCGTGTTGATTAATGGAGTTGAATTTTCACTTACTCTACTGTTAGTGAAGACCATGGTGGGCGCGAAAATATGATCACTGTCACTCAATATGGAACTCAGCAAAGCTATGTGTGCGGACAGCGCCTAAGGACATGATTAATATATATCTTGCTCTTGATGGTCCCTATCAACAAACCTACACATTTGGATTGTCACCTCTTATGCTCTGATAAGATTCTTTGAATGTTTTTTGTATGTTGCGTACGGAATAACAATAAGAGAGTGGTAAGTAAGGGGTAATGACAAACAATACTTTAAGACAAGAAAGAAAGGAATTACAAAAAGATTTCTTAAAGAAGTTGTTCTTTCAGTTGACCAAACTAAACAAAGTGGTTCGGGCTCAACTAATGACTGAAACACCACTCGAAGATTTTTTGAGTGACCGAAGAAATCTGTATCTATTACAGGTATCGACGAAGATATTATTTGCCGGTTTTGCAATAGACTCGAAAGCATTCGAAGATTACGTCTAAGTACTCCAAGGCTACTTGATTCACATTATCCATGGTATTCCATGTCTTCTTCCGTGCACAAAGTTTAGATGCATGGTGCAAAAATTATTGAACACACCTTATTGCCCATTTGACAATTATCTGAGGAAGCTCAAGAATCAAGAGTGTTATAACAGACATTCAGACCCAGTGCTTTCACAGACCTATCAAATGTCACTAAAGAGAACACTATAATTTTCTGCGGCGGTGTTAAGATAATTAAAGGATCCATTGAGGCCAAGATTATAAAACTTCAGGTAAAGATTCTAATAAAGGTACAGACAGATTAATATCTATTAATTACGTTAATTTTGTAATAAAAAATCATTTACTAAAAAGTGAAATTGGAATATGTGGCAGCTTATTTGATCGATTATTTCGCCTTTCCTGATATCTGCTGAAGACGTTCGTCCCGAGCGTGACTCTACTACGTCTAGCTATAAAGCTATTTTTGAAAATTCCGCCCTCGCACGAATCCTAGGACATCCTTCCTGAGGCTCCGCAGGACATCGGTCGATACCCTGAGCCGCCTCAGTCGGTACGCATTGTTTTTTAAAGTAAGTAACACGTTCAGTGAACATTCGCAACAGGAAAAACCTTTCAACTCGAATCGTATTAAAGGTACGATTTATTTGATTAAGCAAGCAATTCAGTCGGTAAAAAGGAATGGCCCCTTTTCTGTATTCGAGTCGCAAACTCTTTGATTTAGAACTCCGTAACCCTTTCCTTTCACTTCTGCGTTCCTGCCAAAACTCCATACAAGTATCCAAGAATTTGTATCATGTATCAAATAGAGTACGAAAAGAATCGATACCATCAAAAAGAACGGAGTGGTGGATAATTCGAGCAATATGTAATTCAACAAATTCATAGAAACTACTTTAAAGTCATCATAGAGGATTGTCGGTCCCAAATCTAAAACAAAAACATACTTTTGTTAATAAAACGCAAAATATAATGATATTTAATTTGAAAGTATTGTTATTTACTGATTACATGAAACAAATGTACTCATAAATGTATGTTTTAAGTTAGTTTCTAAATATACATTCATGTCAGAGACATTCCATGCTGATTTTTCCAATAATTATTTCCGATGTCTAAAAAGCGAAGACATTGTGTTTACTAACATTTTCCCCGATATCCATTTATGACAGAAAATATAGGACGAAATTGGGGTCGTAGTTGTGTCAAGTTTCTTAAACATGTTCAACTACGTAATCAATCACAATCAATTCAATGAAAAGTATGTATAACTGAAATATACCAATAAAAAATATTGGCTTGTAAACTTCATTTTTAGCTTGCAGAGCAAAAATAAGGCACATTTAGTGAAGTTTCTTGACTGTCAAAAAATGTATGCAGGATTCGGAAATTTCGATAAGTTATAAACATTGATTTTACTTGAGGAACGAATTCCGTAAACTTGTACTAGGCAGCTTATACTTAATTCCGAACGTTTGCTTACACTTCAGAATACGAATATAAGTTTTATACAGTATCGTGCAATTGCACATAGACTATATAAAATAAATATTAATAGTAATTTATTATATTTTATAGTATATTTATTATGATATGATATTTGTAAGTTCTTAAAGTCAAGATTATGTGAATTATTTTTAACGGGTCTTAATGATCTTCGGAACGTCGTAAGTAGATTCTACTTAAGACATATTCAGAACTTACTCAAAAAAGCTGCAAAATTTCCATTTTGTCAGAGTTATTAATGACTCATTCAACCATCAGTTAACTCATTCTGATTTTACGCAACACAATTGCGTGTATCCCTTCGCCCTAATCTAAACGATCTTTACAACAGCATAAATAGACCTTTATTTTCACGAGCGTGTGAAAGTACGAGAGAGCGAAGCTCAAAAGAACTGTAAAAATGGATTTTCGGTACGAAAAGTCAAACTCATATTGTTGAGGTGTATAGGGAATGAACGTAACGTGCCACTGCCTGCTCTAAAGAACCCTTCATTGCGTATTAACGTTTCGAAAACTAGGAATTGTTATTGGGACTGCCTTTTCTCGAATAATGTTCCGAATGCAAAGCACCTGTTCTGACGTTGCAGAGATAGCGACCGTCCAGCTCGTCTATTACACATTTACCCAAATTCATATCCTTGTATAAATATTGATATTATTATTGTGATATTTAAACGAATTTTAAATTTTTTAATTTATGATAATATTTGTTAAATGACTATGAAGATAATTAAAACAAAAGCAAACGATAGGTTTTTCTTAGCAGGCACAAGGTAATAATATCCCCAACTTCTTCTAAAAGAAAAGTAAGCATGCTCAGAAATACAATGTTACTTTTACCCCCGTACTATAATATAGGGAGGAAAAGCTATGGAATCACCTCAACATCATCATCTCCAACTTTTTGCCGTAAAATCTGTTATTGGTGGCATGGAGGGGCGGAAGTATGTGTTACACATAACTTAGTTTAGAAGCTTTTGAGCTGAGACTTATGAAATTCGTCAGAAGTAAGTTTTGGAATCAGGTGCTCACGGTTTCAAGTTTTTTTCTTGATATATATTTAATTAACTTTACATATTAATTAATTAAACCTATTTTTAGCAATTAATGCCCTTCATCACGATTCTTTCTTGTTCTCGCTCGCGAGCACACTTCTTTTACCGAGTGTTACCTTCTGCACATCTCTCAAAGGGCACAATGTTATTAACAAAAATCAATGTTTCCTTTTAGTATTTATCATAACACCCTTAATACGAGACTTCAACTTAATTGATCGTATCACACTGCTCGGAACATTCTCATTACGGGTAAACATTTTTTGACAGCTAACAACGTTTATTTTGTATACTTATTATTTGAGAAATGCGTATGAAACGCGGGAGGTGGTTTGAAACGAAATCCGTGTGCTGAGTGCCGGGTGCGGGGCGCGGGTGCGCGTGCGCAGGCGCCGGAGCGCGGCATGGCGTACTACGTGCTGGAGTGCGGCGGGCCCGGGCTGCCGCTGGCCGGCGTGCACTCGGCCGCCACGCACCGCCTCCAGCGCATTCTCTTCAACACGCGGCCGCTGCGCAGTGCGCGCCTCCGCGAGCTCGCCCTGCCCACGCAGCGCAGCTTCGAGGTGCCGCTGGCGCAGGGCTGGAGCGCGCACGTGCAGCTGCAGCTGCCGCCCAGCTGGCGGGAGGAGCTGCGCGACGCCGCCTTCCCGGTGCTCGTCGAGGTGTGAGTACGCGCCCCGCGACCCACGCTAAACCCGCCGACCGACCCTCCGACCGACCGACCCCCGAACCGACCCTCCGACCGACCCTCCGACCGGGACCTCCGACCGACCCTACGACCGCCTCTCCGACCGACCCTCCGAACCGACCTCCGAACCGGACCCTCCGACCAACCCTCCGACGACCCTCACCGACGCCTCCGACCGACCCTCGCCGACCGACCCTCCGACCGACCGACCCGAAAACCGAGCGATCGGTCGACCGACCGAGACACCTATCGGCCGACCTACCGACCGACCCTACCGTCAAACCTCCCGTCGACCCATCCGGACAGACCGATCCACCGGCCTGAAACGGTAGCAGCTCCACACTCACTAGTCTATCTCATCAACCAACCAAATCACCGAACCGATCAAACGACTGATGACGCTTTTCTACTCACTTCAACCTACTGTGATCAACTGACCGAGTGATCCGACTGCCCGACCTGGAATTTGCTGGACGACCCTGGTTTCCGCGGAAGACCGACTCAATCCACCGACCTCACCCACCGACCACACACGCCCACTACACCCAGGGACCATTCTCTCTTTACCGTTCCTACTAATTCATACAATTTTGTATGACCCTCCTAAAAAGCCTACTTTATATCTAAATATTTCACTCACCGTAGGTGAAATTCGCAAATTTAAATTGACATAGATAAATGCCACACTTAGGATTGAAACACAGAGGTAAGCATTCCAAGAGAGAAAAGTGTTCAGTGAGACCCTTCATCTTGAGACGTCAAGGTGGGGGAGGGTAGAGAGATCTATAAAAAGAATCGTCCAGAAACATTCCGCAAGAAATGACGCTAACATACGGTGAATAGGATAGTGCCAGAAGGGGTGTCTCGTTCTCTACAATGGTTTTTTTGTTGCCCAATTGAAGATCAGAAATAAGACACCCTTAATATACATTCCGTGTCATAGCATTATGTGACTTAGAGGCAACGAGTTAAAGAAGTAAAGTAGTAAATGCCTTTTGAAATATTATGAAGACAATAACAGAAACGTCTTCCGAACTTGCCATTTTGGTGCCCATTCCTACTAGTATAAAAGGAAATTTTCTAACAGTTGAGATTCCATGAATTTATGAAATATCTAAATTTGTGACTAAATTTGAATGTGTTGACAAAATAATGTTTTTGTCGGTTATTGTAATTGAATTGAATATTAAGCGTAAATTCCATTTTCGTCGGCCAAGTGTCATTTAGGAGATGCAATATCTTTATTAACTTCTCAGTAAATATTCTTAGTATTTTCTTTGACGCGATGATTAAATCTGTAAATTGCATGTTTCAGTAACGTCAAATGAATAATGTTGAAAAATATACTATTATCTACAAAACTCCTCTAATATAGCGTTACCTCGCTAGTTGTTTGAACTAGTTAACACATGTGTGATATGTGTCAGTGGCGTTAAAATGCAAAAAGAGTAGCTAAACGTCCGTACACACGAGAATAGGAAATTTATTTTGTATTTAACGACCCCATTATAATATATCTGTATAAAATTCTTGTTAGTTAGAACTTCTAGAGCAGACTTTGACAAATGATAGATGTTTCGTTGAGTTCCTAATGGGCCACTACTTAGAGATCAATAATTATGCAAATCTTTGGAAGTTGAAAGAAGTACCTATACACTTTAGATGTCAAAGACCAGCCTGTTTGTCCATTATATAATTTTCAAAAATTTTATTTAGTGATCGTAAATCTTTATTACGTAGAGAGTTGCGGAGATGTTCATCATTCATCTTTGACAACCTGTGTTTCTGTAGAACAGTGTACGGTTTCGCACAACCTTCAGGAAACCGGAATCTTCAAGGTTAGTTGCATTTCGCACAAGTTGCTTACATTGAACTTTCAGTTTCTTCCTAACTACATTAGAATTACCCTAGAAGAACTACACCTGTCCCAAATTTAACTTTCAACGTCAACACATTAAATTTTGTACTTAGTTGTACTAGTTTTATTCAAAGGAAATAACAATGAACTGCGTAACCTATTGAAGTAATAGTTGATTATTAAGCTATGTCTTTTTTAACTAATATAATTTCTTGAAATCACGCCACGGGAGCCCTTAGAATAAATTTGGGTCCCGTAAATCGTAAAATAAATAGTTTTGCACTTCCTAGGGCGTATTTGTAATTATTGATAGGTTCATTTTACTTCTGTGTTTGAAAAAAATATAGAAAAATATGTTTTAAAGAATAAATGTCCAAGCATGAAAAATATATTTTTTATTTATTTATTCTATCTTGGCCATTGGCCCTCTGCAGCCCCATAAGATAAATACATTGATATTATTTAAATACAAGAATCATTTGTGAACAGAATAAACAGAAGTTTAGTTTTAGATATAAGACCATACAGTGTTTATATACAGTAGTTTATAATGGGGAAAAGACTCATATGGGGGATCGAAAAATTATCTTGGTAACTTTCTTTTTAATTATTTGTGATTAGGATTTTGCTTACCTATGTGAAAGTGAATAGCTGAAGGGATCTTTGATATTTTGAAATAGAATTTGACGGATAAGAGGGAGAAATGGACGGGGAATGATGTAATGCCAAGTTCATAAAGTAACTGTGCATTCGGAATGTACCAGGGAGATTTTGTGATGGAGCGTAGGAATATACTTTGAAAATTTTGGATTTTGTTGATATTTGTTTTGGCTGCGGAAGCTTAGACAGGGGAGGCATAGGAAAGCGTGGGTCGTATCATTGCTTCATAGAGGTGAATAGCAACATGTAATTGTAGGGGGATGATTTTTTGAGAATCGGATATAACTGCTGGGCTCTACTAGTCACTAGCGCTTTGCGGTGTTTTATATTGTGCCGCAATAAAAGCCTTTTATCCAACAGAACTCCAAGATATTTGACAGTTTTGTTGGGAGAGAGCCAGGTGATATTTTGTGATTGGTATGCGAGATTTGGGAGGACATCTGGCCTACGAAGGGTAAATATTTTTGCTTGGCTTTTATTAGGATTTATTTCAATGTGCCATTTTTTGAACCAGTTGGAAAATAATGTGAGGTGATGGTGTAGATCATTCACGGCAGATTGAAGATTGCAATTGGAGGAGTTAAGTACTACATCATCAGCAAATATAGCTATTGCAGAATTTTGGGTGATTGATAATCAAAAGTGTAGACATGAAATAAAGTAGGGGAGAGGGTGGATCCTTGTGGTACTCCTGCTTTGACGATGAAAGGTGTGGAAAGAGCCCCGAGGAAACGCACATAAAATGTTCGCTTGGAAAGAAAACTTTCAATGATGCGTGAAAGATACAGAGGAGTACCTACACTGCGGTGTTTGAAAATTAATCCTGGGTGCCAGACGGTATCAAAAGCTGTAGGTACATCTAGAAAAACTGCTGCGTTATGCTTGTGGTCATGAAATTGTTCGATGATATTTTCAGTTAGGCGTAAGATTTGACGATACGTAGACAAAAGGGTTTTGAATCCAAACTGATGAGGTGGTATGGCTTTGACTGCTCTGAGATATGAATTTAGCCAAGAGAGTATACATTTTTTAAATAGCTTTTCCCTTTTGGGTAGCAAACTAATCGGGCTATAGCTAGTTGGATGATTTTGAGCGTTCCCTGGATTTAGAATGGGAATAATGTGGGTGTGTTCCCATTTAGCAGGGAAGTACGTTTGTCTTAAAGAGGCATTAAATATTGCTGTAAAATGTATAATTACTTTTATGGGAAGGCATTTTAATAAACAAAGTTGATATTATATCATGGACATTTGAAAATTTCGGGCTGTTAGTAAAAGATACTTGATGATTTCTGATGGTGAAATAAATTTAGGGCATTCCAGGAACCGTTATTTCTGGTCGTGCAATTTCTTCTTCAATATGATTATCGTGATGTCAATTTTTAGAAGGGTAAGAAGTAAAGTTCAATGCAAAATTATTACCCAACATATCGCATTTATCGGAAGGAGAAGATGCTTCTACAGTTGGAGTAACAAAGCTGGGTACATTACTAGATTTGCGAAAAAGACGTCAGTCTATATTCCACAGTGTATGTTCAGATGGGTTTGCCGTTTGAGTTTGAAGCTGAATCTTTTGCGCATAGACGGATGACAAAAGTTGTTTTACAGTTTTTGTTAGGAGGTTTAAATAAGATTTTAAGAGAGGAGATCAATGTCTCAACCAATGATTACGAATATATCGTTTATACTCGATCAGTTTCTTCACTATAGGTCGTATTGCTGGAAGCGAAGTGCGTTGATGGGTTCTGGAGGCCGTTGAGTCGAGGGAATCTAATATAATAATGAGTAAGCGAGTCAATGGTCCTGTCGATTTCCTTTGTAGTACGGAGTAATGACAGTGGAGGTATGTAAATGATACGTAACGAGACATTAAGTAAATGATAAGGCTGAGGGGGGCGAATTTCTTCAGGAGTTGTGTCAAGTGAACGAAACTACGAGGCGATGATCGGATTACAGGGCGATATGATTCTCCACTTGAATGTTACAACTTAAGTTGTTAAAAAAGCCGAAATCTAGTATTTCAACTTGCACTGACACGCGGAAGGGTTAGTAGCTGGGTGTATCAGAGGCATGTACAGCCAAATTTAATCTTTGTGTGTCAGCTAGCAACAGATTACCATCAGGTGAGTTTAGTCTACTTCCTCAAGCACCGTGTTTAGCATTCCAATCACCGATCACTAATATTGGTTGACGGGAGGAAAATAAGGTATCAGTATCACCTGATGTTTATTAGGATGCTTGTAAATTGAAGTGAATATTAGGCTAGATTGACGTTTCTGCTGAATAGCCACGCTAATATTTTCGAAAGTATTATTTATATTTAAAGGTAGTTCGTAATGTGTTACGGATTTTTTTACAAATAGGGCGACCCCACCTCTGCACGGTCTTCGCGGTCGATCGTGGCGATATAAAACATATCCGGGAATATAAATTATCATCGAAGGGCAAAGATGGGTTTCCTGAATGCAAGCTACTTGTATTTAACTCGTATTATTATGCAGAAAGTTGGCTAGCACATGAATATTAGGTTTAATATTCTTCGCATTCCATGAAATACGTCGGAGTGAGGAATGAGTGGCACTACTTATAGGCATGTTTTTATGGATAATATAATTTTATTGATTGAAGGATGGAGATTATAAGAAAAAGAATAATTTGACTTAGAAGGTTGGAAAAGAAATGTTCTGCCTGTTGGGAGATAAATTGTTCCCACTGGAAGGGTTGCCCAATGGAAGGGAGTATGGGCTGTTTGAAAACATCTGAATACTCATATAGCGGCATTTGGTTTGGTAATGATGGCTGTGGAATTCTACGATGGAGGGAATATGGTTCTTCATGCATTATGATAGGGATGAAAGAGGAAAAATGAGGATAGGCTACAGGAGAAGTTCATGGAGGGGTTAATGAACGTGAGTGATGGGGTATCGCTGGTTGTGCGAATTGTTGTCGGATGGGGGGAGTGGTTTCCTCCGGATTTCCTTTGATAATTTCCACAGTCGCGACTAGAGGACCGATGAGCCTTTCCGTAGAGTGAACATATGGTATCAGTACTAGAACATTCGGCCGTGGCATGCGGCACTGCATACTTGCCGCGAGGCGGATTACCACAGATCTGGGTGAGAGAGGGGGAGAGAGACGGGAAAGGAGAGGGGGGGAGAGAGGGGAAGAGGAGAGGGAGAGAGAAGGGAAACGGAGAGGGGGCTCAGAGGGGAGAGACGGGGAAGAGGGCGAGAGAGTTGGAGAGAGAGGGGAGAGAGGGAGAGAGGGGGAGAGAAGGAGAGAGAAAGAGAGAGGGAGGGAGAAGATTACAATGAACAATATTATCTAATTTATTTCTTGATAGGACAACCCTAGAAACGTGCGAAAAGACTTGCAACCCTCACCCTTCCCCGCCCCCCCCCTCGCGCTCCGCGTAAATGTCACGTGCGAGTAACAAGAGCGCTTTGTTGAACGCGCGCTCGACAGCAACGGGCGGCCGGGCAGCCAGTCCGTCAGCGACAAGTTCGACATCAACTGGGGCACCTACATGTCCAGCCACAACGACGTCGTCTACATCAAGCTGGACGTGCGCGGCGCGCGGGGCCAGTCGTCGCCCGCGCTCTACCGCCGGCTGGGCGGCGTCGAGGTCCAGGATCAAATTAGCGTCCTCAGGTAGGTCTCGCTCGGCGTTTGCTCTTCGGGGACCAGCCTATCCATCAGACATGGCGAAGGGACTCGCTATGACGAGTTGCTTTGTGTTTATGGGAAGACTTATTTGGAAAAATAAGCGGCTTTGGATGAGCATTACTCGTCCTTTGATCTCTCACTGTAAACCGTAGTTATTGTGACATAGTGCGGGGACTGTTCATAAAATAATTAATTTTTAAAAGCCTATTTGAATATAGCATTGTCGGTTTCTAAAATAAGTTTTGCCCTTTCCACCACATGGTATTAGTCTATTATTGGCAACCGTTACTGTAGACACCATTATTACATCTCACAATGTCATCACTTCCTATTAATATTCTTGCCTATTAACAATTTTACAATAATTAAAATTATATTGAGAAATGCACTTGGCTACATCACAGTATGAATGTAGAGAGCAGGTCTTGGTAAATCGTCATTGCATTAATATTTTGTAGAAAAATACGTGATAAGTTGTGAATATTTTACTTTTCAGAGATGGCTAACTTATTATCGCGTTATAATAAGCGTGACAAGAAATTCTGTTTTCTTATATATTACTGAAGAGGACGTTAAATTAGCTGAAGAGGACTAAAATATAAATATTCTCGACATAATATAGTTGTGAAGACTGAAGTTGAGAAAGTTACATTCAGATAGCAGTGTATAACAACATGTGAAAAAAACGTACAGGTTTAAGTCTCTCAAATCCACGGAATTCCATTATCATATCTTTCTAGACTAAGAACACTTTGGCATCTCTTTTTATAACAATATTTGTCAGAAACCTATAAGAAAATGAAATATTTTAAATTTCACATTATTAAATTAGGTTATGTGTAAATCATGCACTGTTTTATTCAATATGCTAATAGCCTTCTCCTTGCTCTATATGTCAAATATGTGTGAAATTATACGCAATTTTTCTGTTTACTTGTACCTATTTGCTTTACAAATATATATCGTACAATTCTTCTAAAAACTCCTAACAGCTATCCAAAGGCTTTATTGGTGGGTCTTATTTACATCCTGAAACAAGAGTAAGCTTTTCATGTCTCTTGTGAGTCTATGCAAAGAACGTTTTAAATAGCTGTATTCGCAATTGAGATCCTGATCAAAAATTGTTCTAGGAGAGATAAATGCCATATCTGATATTGATATATTATAGACTACTTGATTTACTAATGCAGTCCAATATATTACTTTCAAGCCAATGTAATGATAGAAATACGCCATCTTACCACTTTGGACCAAGACTGGCTCTGCTTTATTTTTTCCAATGAGGTGCATGCTGATTATTTTAACGCATATAGTTTCACACTAACATTAAGACGCGTGTTTTTTTGGCTGTGGTATAGCTTTCAAAAATTCATTTAAAATTACAATAATATCAAATTATACGGATTATCCTTTTATTACCGATTTGGTTTTTGGTCTTTGAACTTTCCCCTTTTTTCTTACAATTTGTAACCTGGAGAATTATCAATCTTTAAACACATCTGTCCATCTTACTCACAGTGCATTCTTATTCAGTGTTGTTACAGGTTTACAGTTCATGGTATTCGTAATATCTCTGTCCATGTTTATATTTTCTAGGTGTCCTATCAATTCTGTGATTTTGTATTTTTCTCTTATATAAAGACATTGTTTTTCTTGTACATTCTATATGTACAAGAAAATCTATCTTGTACATATAGAATGTACAAGATAGATTTTCTAATCTGTATCTTTGTGAGACAAATAATTCCCCCATAAAATGTTTGCCTCAACTACGAAGAGATCTTGATGGCCCGGTAACCATTAGCCATCGCGCGTGTGTTGCAGGTACCTGCTGGACACGCTCAAGTTCCTAGACGAGACGCGAGTGGGCGTGTGGGGCTGGGGCTACGGCGGATACGTCACCGCCATGGTGATGGGCTCGCAGCAGAACGTGTTCAAGTGCGGCATCGCCGTTTCCCCCATCTCCGACTGGCTCTACTACAGTGAGTGTCCCTCTCTGGCCCAATGCACGCGCACGCGCTCGGAATCCAACGGCGACGAGAGAGCGAAAAACAGAAGCGAAGTCGAAGCACGAAACGAGAATTATTTTAGTGTTCACCACCGAGAAGTTACGTTTTGTTTTGTGGCGAAGTTGTCGCACGATTTAACGAGAGCACCATGTTGAACCTACGTATAAGGCAAATTTTAAAACTACAATTCTGAAAACATTACTTGAGAATATTTAATAAATCAATATAAAAGCCAAAAAGTTTATTTTACACGTCACATAGCAATAACATTACGCTTCAGATTTTCAGTGAGATTGAAAATTGAAATTGACGGAAATAGATTAGGAATATTTAGGATGACACCCCAAAAAAATTTAAGCTCCGTCATTTTATGAACGACCAAACCTGGAAATCTGACTTACGTTCCATGAAAGTATGAGGTTGAAGGAAAGGAGTCCCAAGTTGATTTATAGACAGACACGACTTCTCATATTAGTTATATTACATCTCTATGTTACAATTACTCGAATGCGCAACCGTTTCGGGGACATATTTTCCCCATCCTCAGGCAAACAAGTCAGGAGCTCATATCACACATTATCAATAAAACACTATCCAGTACAAGCTACTGGACGTACCATCACGGTCGGACGAAGTGTAGTGCTTAGAGGTCTTGGAGGGTATCTTGGAGGTTACAAGATACAGTCTTATTCCTACATCTGCAAGCATTCCATTAAAGTACTTTGTTGTTGGTTTATTCCCTTTAAACCACGAATATCACCTTCTTTTTATTGCGCTAACGGGGCAAAATTCGACTGCAATCGCCTGAGATATTTATAGAGGGGTCGCAGAGGAAACGAACCCCTTTTAATCGGTTCAATACTCGCCGCGGGATAGAATCGGAACCGAAGGCGAAATTCTAAGATTTGTGTGAACCGGAAAGGAAAGACTCCCAGTTCGATACCCCGCCTCCACCGCCCCCGCTCGCCCGCCCGCGGCCCGGGGTCGATACCACCAGTGACGTCACACCTGCTCCCCCGTCCCGCTCGGCCCCGGCTGGCAGCGTGCCGGCTGCTAGAGCCCTTAAGTGCCCTACTGTACTAGAATCTCCGTTGGTTTCTGATGTGAGAAGCGCCGCTTCTGGAGCGAGATGGGAATGCTCGACATAGAGAAAGGACGATGTAAAATATGACCTGAAAGCGTCAACGTCCTATTACGTAGTTTACTTTGCAAAAACAACTTTAACTCCTTGTGTAGTGTCTCAAAATTCACGTGTAAATAATGTAGTGAAATATTGATGAATCAATCTAAATTCAAGCACCATGCTATAATTTTTGTAGACAAAAGAGTGAAACGATTAAATTAATACTAACATTCCACTATCCATTTCTTGAACACAACAGCGTCTCTGACAACAGCACGTTTGCTGTAGATACTTTCATATTCCAATGTATTATATTTTTATAAATGTAATTAAAATGAAATCAGATTTACAGAATTAATTTTAAATCTATTGTACAATTTCATAAGAATATATATATATATATATATATATATATATATATATATATATAAGAATATACAACATAATATAACATAACAAAATCATCTATTCAACAATTTTATTGAGCTATTCGTGCACCCATTTCGAGTTGTGAAACACATGATCACATAATATCAAAATAATCTTTAGTTATAGTCATTCAAAACTTTTTTCGTATTTTTGTGTCGAATTTGAAATATTTCCAGAACATAGAGAACGGAGTATAAATGAACCAAGCTCAGTGACACAATGAGATTTATGTCGGTACTGCATTCGGGAAATTCTCGTATTTACCTTAAATAAATGTTCGATCTGCAGCGCCAGGCAGGATAAAACCCGACGCCGCGGGCGGGCAGATAGAACAATGTATACGCAATAGCTTGCAACCGTCATGTTTATCATAAAAACAAAAATAAAAAATAAAACCATTCGGGACTCTTTAGTTATCTCGCGGATTGTTTATTTTTACATGGTTAAATGTAACTTCAACGTTTTCGCTTGCTCTACATCATCTTTCAAAAGTTACATTTACATTGTTACAGTTGTTAACAGTTTCATTGTTTGAATCATCATCCACGAATAATCACGATTTTCGATAGAATCTCCCAAATATTAAAGATATGTTAGTCATCCACCTTTAATATTTTTCTGGTAATGTTTTCGATCCATTTTTCCTCTCTCCTTTGCAACAGGATTTTCAGTTTTAAATTCCACCAAGTCCAAAGTACGACGCAAGCAACCGTAGGAGAGTACATACGTTCATCTGAAAAGCACCTTATTACGAATAAGGTTGACTGTGGTAGAGATAGAGAGTACTTAACAGAAAGAGAATCGCTCATGACACGTAACACACGCATTGCAACATTTACGATTTCATGAAATAACTTTTGAAAATTTTTTCGGATAAAACAAAATAGCACTCACAAAAAAAATGTTTCGATTATATTGAATGTATTCGTAAATGGGATGACCAGGGTTAATATATAAAACCATGTGAACCACATAGCATAGGAAGCAAGATGTTTAAGAGTGAAAAGTTTTTACTTTATCGTCTTAAAATGGGCGTACAATAATAAAATTATAATAATAATAATAATAATAATAATAATAATAATAATAACAATAATACAAAATTATATTTTCGAATATATGCATGTATATAAACAAAGTGGGGCATTAGTTACAGCATTTATAACTTAAGAACGGCTACACCAATTTTAATTATTTCTGATTAATTGGATTCATCTCCGCCCCGAATAGCACAAGAGCCTAGGACATTAAAATCTAAAATTTTTGGACCAAAGGCCTCAAAGAAATGTTTCTCATATCGTAATCTGCAGGATGATATCTTTTTGAACATTGTATTACATTTTTGCTGGGGAGAGAGGGAAGGGGAGACGGGAGAAGAGAGAAGAGGGAGAGAGGGGGGGGAGAGAGAGGGGGAGAAGAGAGAGGGAGAGAGAGAGCGAGGGAGAGAACGGAGGGAGAGAGAGAGGGCAGGAGAGGACGACGGGAGGGAGAGAGGATGACTCGGAGGGGAGAGAGAGAGAGAGAGAGAGAGAGAGAGAGAGAGAGAGAGAAGGGAGATGAAGGGCAGAACGGCTGCCGAGTTCCACTAGGATCAAAATAATTCCGATTACATCTTTATGAATTCGTGGAACTAAATCATAAATAGAACTCTGCCTGTTATATTAAAGCGAGGCATAATTAATTACTTTTGTTTCCATTATTATTTCAAACTGAATTTACTTTACCTACAGTAAATTTGTCCCCGAAGGCAGTACTCCTAGGTCTCTTTTCGGCGGCTTTAATGCGATGGAGCCCCCCTTCCCAGAGGTGGATGCCGGGGATCGATAAATGTGAAATGTAGAGTGTAGGTGGCGTAATTACTTCCGTGACCTTCAGCTAAGCCACACAGAATCCTGTATTCCTCTCCCTCTCTCATACCCCAATATATTTGACGGTTTTATATCATTTCCTAGAAACCACCGAGTCAGCCCGTAAATGCCTCCTGGCAGGTTAGGAATTACTCCTCCCCCCCCAAGTCCTAAATCAATCGGACTTAAAAAAATAGAAATTATCAAACTTTTCTATCAGGGAAAATCAGGGTCACAAGTAATTTAAAACACACTCTACACTGCAACATATCCTACCTTCGTGCATAACTCAGACTCGGTGCGTCCCACAGCCTTCACACTGCGTTTTTAGGTATCGAGAAGAAACATCAGTTACTTTTAAGGCATGTAACAGAGTGCTAAAAGGCCAATTTTAGCCCTAGTGCTAAAAATGGGTCGATGCTCAAATTTTTAGATAAAACTATGAATGCCACAAAGAAAACAAAATACTTTTTTTTGATCAGCTACACCTGATATTAATGTAACATGGTACCCAGCGATTTGTATACTTGAATTAAAATAGAAAATCTGTCTAAAAGTGAGTTTGCGACACACGTGTTCAAAGGGAGTTTATTTTTTTCGTTGTATTGAGTCCCTCGGCCGGCCAGCCTCGTGTCGCAATATTTTCTGATCGCAAAATAAAATGTTACTTTTACCGCTAGTACCATAAATATTTTATGTCATTCAAGAAGTACGATTTATGTTCCGTTTGCCTTTATGTACAGAACTTATTGAACTTCGTTGGGCATTCTATTCCAAGTTTGGAGAACCTTCACTTCATAGATCTTCAAAAATGTTCGAGGCTACGTGAAGCTATTTTCACTTTTAAATCATCGATGCACAAATCCACGCAATATTTGCACGTATTTACCTAAGCTTGCAATACTGAATCAAAGAAGTGGTATGGCAGAAACAGATACTACACGTTGAGAAGCCACCCGTCACAAAATGGCGCGAAGCGACGCAAACGGTAGGGAAAATGTTGCTGTTGAAACCACGCGAATTGTTTCTTTGTAAGAATTCGTATTTAGGGAAAACTTCAAAGCTAAAGTGAAGTGAATGGATGAATGAAGAGTGATTAAGAAGACCGAGAAGTGAGAATGTGTAAGCGCAAAACAAGAATTAAGAATGTATAGGGGAATGTATTTCAACTCTTGACGCACAGTGCGCTTATGTGGCCCGATACGCTTGTGTCCCTTCTCGATACGACGGACGCACATTAAAATTCCTCATTTGGCGTTCGTGTGCAGCTAACTTAAAGGTCTGATTTCACTAACGCTTGTTAAACCACTAACGAGACATTAGGAGCTGTAACGATCCATTAGCAAAACGTTGCATTTCACCAAAATTTAGATCTCGTTAAACTTCCGTATAAGTTAACGGGTGATCTCAGATCCGTTATTAACTCTTAAAGCCTCGTTAGACAGTTTTCTTAGCCATTCGAAACAGCTTAACTTAGCCAATACAGGCAATTGGGAACAGTCCAGTATCTCTTCTTAACTAATCTGCGATTGACAGTATCATTATTTCATAAACGTTCTCACATTAGTTCAGCAACACGTAGAATTGCATTGCTTTTATAATGTGAGATATAGTGTGTTGATTTGCATAAAATATAACGGACTTTTTAAGAAGTAAACATTTTTATAATACTTATTTGCTTTTTTTACTCTTTCGTAAAGAATACTGAATAAGTTAGAAATTAATAGAGACATGTTTTCAATAAAAGTAAATATAACCTCAATAAATGCAATCAAATTTACTAATGTTTCTCTGTAATCTCGTATGTTTCTTCACAGAGTAAACATATATGTTCAACAAGAGTCATCAATTCACTGCCTCCTGTATAGGAGTCTTTATGCATTTTGTACATCTACGAAAGTTAAAAGCCGATTAACTAACCGAGGATGGGGAAAAGTTGTTGAAACGGAACACATTTAACAGAAAACGTTAATTTTAACGGCTCGTTTATGAACACACGAGATCATCCGTGGAAACATCTGTCACCACACTAGAAATGAGTCCATCAAGCTTCATTACGTTGAATTTTGATTAGTTCCGGCGAAACTTACGTTTGTCATTGTGACTGCTTTGTCTTTACGTGTAAATTCTACTGCCAAGTTTGCAGCACTGCGTTACGTTTAAGTTCGCATCGTGAATGCGTTGGCTCGTTTATCAACACACGGGATCATCCGTGGAAACATCTGTAACCACACTAGAAATGAGTCCATCAAGCTTCATTACGTTGAATTCTGATTTGTTTATGCGAAACTTACGTTTGTCATTGTGACTGCTTTGTCTTTAAGTTTGCAGCACTGCGTTACGTTTAAGTTCGTATCGTGAACGCGTTGGCTCGTTTATCAACACACGGGATCATCCGTGGAAACATCTGTCACCACACTAGAAATGAGTCCATTAAGCTTCATTACGTTGAATTCTGATTGGTTCAGGCGAAACTTACGTTTGTCATTGTGACTGCTTTGTCTTTACGTGTAAATTCTACTGCCACGTTTGCAGCACTGCGTTACGTTTAAGTTCGTATCGTGAACGCGTGCTTTTGCTTGATCGGCAGACTCCGCCTTCACGGAGCGCATCCTGGGCGCGCCGGGCGAGAACTTCAAGGGCTACGTGGAGGCCGACGCGACGCAGCGTGCGCGCCACGTGCCCAGCCACTCGCTCTACCTGCTGCACGGGCTGGCGGACGTGACGGCGCCCTACCAGCACGGCGTGGCGCTGGCGCGCGCGCTGGCCGACGCGGGAGTCATCTTCCGCTACCAGGTGAGTGCGGCAGCCGGCGCGTCGGCGTTAGGGTTAAGCGCACGCGAAGGGTTAAGTGAAGACGGCGAGCGAGTAAAAAGAGACTGAGCTCGCGAAGAGTTAGTGTTGACAGTGAGCACGCGAAGGGTTAAGGGAAGACGGTGAGCGAGTAAAAAGACACTGAGCTCGCAAAGAGTGAAGACAGTGAGCATGCAAAAAGATAGTGAGTTCGCGAAGAGTTAGTGATGACACTGAGCATGGAACAGGAAGTGAGCACACACAGTAAAGCGCAGACAGTGAGCACGCAAAGGGTTAAGTGACGACATATGTGGAGCAACTGATAAACAATTTTAATCTCCACAAAAGCTTAGTGCCAGACGATGTTAACTTTATATGTTAACTTGGGACCAATCCGGTTTAAGGAGCTTGCGGATGCGTAATGACCCTAGTAAAAATTAATCGTCTGAGTTAACACCCCCTGGTACTAAGATTTTATGGACAAAACGCATTTTGATCAGTTGCCCCACATACGTAGAAAATAGCCTTTAAGTAGTTCACAAGAAGCCGGTATGTATGACACTGCTAGTGCCTGAACCATGGCTACTATTATGCGCTATGGAGAAGCCGATTAATTTGCACAATTATCAGACAAGCTGGATGTGGGTAAAGTTCAATGACGGCGATGAACGGACCATTTCGGATTTCATACGGCTAATGTTGATATTAATCACATAGTAATGGCTGAAGTAAATTTATTGTCGTGTTGAGAGCAGTCTTCTATATTCGCCCTCCAGTAATCTACAGCAGTGGGCCTTCAAATGAATCTTCTGCAAAATGACAATTTGTTTTGCATCAACGAAACGTTCGTTTTTTTACAAGGAGACTCCCACGATATACAAAAGTTGAGGAAGCGAGTTCCAAGTGTTAGCTCGTAATAATCCATTCATTAAATATTAATAATCTTATTTTAACGCCAATAACGATCCCGTATTTCTAGCTCTGTTTTGTGATATAATCCATTCACTAATATCGTGTAAGTTGTTTGTATCGATTTATCAAAACTATCCAGTTATATAAAAGCGCGATTTCCTGTCACGTTTATAACTTAAAAAAACCTTGCAAATAATAAAACCAAAACTTCGTCTACACTTGCACGTTTTTGAAGGAGATTGCTCTATTTTAGCTATCTCGCCGATCTCTCTATTTTCCTTTTTAAAAGAATTCAGGTTGCTGATGCTAAGTATCAGTTATTTCTGGCACACCACGCTCCTCTCTGATGCCATGTAAATTCGAAACGATTTGGGTCGGCTGCTATTATTTTGCAGACCGTTTTCAAACACCGGGGTATTATTTGCATGAAGAAATGGGGCCTAAATTAAAGAGTTACCTCAAGGTATATACCCCTTCAACGCATTGGTCAATATTGTTTTCTTGCTACAAATGAGACGAATACTGATTTGCTGAACTTGTAACCAGTTTTTTTAGTCCAGGTAGTTGTCCATTATAGATTCTCAAGGCGATATAAAGTTTACATGGCACAACTATTAGGTCCTATTTCATTATCGTTTTGTTCATAACACATTTGTTAACCGAATCAAAATTGAAACTGGGATACCTTCACCGAGAATCAAGCCTGTAACCAAGGGTACTCTGAAATGGTGCAAGCGTCTGAGGTATAAAACTAGATTGATCATAAATAACGCAAATATTTGGGCAAATTTGTATTGACTGTTTTAAAGGATATTATACCTAAACTAATATTTAGTTTCTGAATATATCACTTTCCTTTCATTTCCTCCTTTAAGAAATACTAAATTCTGTATGTGTATTTGCTCTAACTTTATTATCTACAACAAATCCTATCCTGATTTTTCATTGAATGTTATCTCTCGCCGACAACCTGCCGTAGATTTATGGGAAAATCTTACATTGGTCTGGAAATCTGTAAATGAGAGTTTCTAACAGACGACATGCGAAACGCTATCAATATAGGAAGAATCTCGATTTTAAAGAAACTCCTTTTGCACATTCAATCAAAATTAATTCTAGGGGTACTTAAATTTGGAAAAATCTGCTACTTTTCGAGCTGGGTATAATAGAAATCATCCAACTAACTTTTTTTTCTTTAAGAATAAAGATTTACTTTTAGAAACGGTTTATAATATTCTTTTAGAGCATCACAAAGGTCTCCTTTAGTTTCCATTCCGTTTCACATAAGCCTACGAATCACAAAAACGTGTTTGACTCGCGTCGAACTTAAAAATGAAAGCCATAAACGTCTGCAGAGACATTAACATTTTAAAACTCTTCCCCTTGATTAATTCACAACAACCCCAAAGCCAGCAAAAAGAATTCCCTGAACGCGCACTAACTGCGGCGAGCAAGGAAGAAGAGGTAAACCGACATGCAGGCAGGCGAAGCAGAAGAAGTGGAAGAAGAAGGGCGGCTGCGGGCGCACCGCAGATGAGCAGCACTCGCCGTTCAGGCCTCGTGAAGAGGATACAGGTGGGTTGGCAAGCGCCCAACTCCGCGTCCACGCCATCGGGAGGAGTTTAGCTTCATTACCGCAAATGTGGAAACTGCCTGCTGCGCGGAGGGGGGGGGGAGTGGAGAGCGCGTCGCAAACAGAGCTGGGGAGGGGAGGGAGAGGGGGTGGCGGAGGGGAAGTAAAGGAGTGCACAATCACGCCACCGCCGCCGTCTGCTCCGCCGCGCACGGCCGGCGTTCTGCGGCGCGGCGCGGAGGCTGCAAATGTGAATTGGCTCGTACTCCAGCCCCCCTTCGCCGCCACCGCCGCCGCCGCCGCCGCCGCCCATAAAGCTGTCGCTACGTTATGCCTGCCAAGAGGTCGTTGACATAGTCGTATTCTGGTCGTTTGCCACCCTAACCTAGCGTTTAATAATCACACATTATGACTAATATTGTAGTACAACGTTATGAATGAACTTACAAATCGTGAAAAAGAGAAGACACATTGTGTCACGTCTCCTCCATTAGAGTAGAAAATCAGTTTACATTTAAACAATACCATTCCATTCTACAAACGAATTGCGTAATTTTATTTAAATAAATAACGTCCACATCAGTTCACGATCAAGAATATTCTGTAAATTGTAAATGAATAGCAATGGTCGCGAATAATAATGAACTCGAAAGGACTATACACGCAATAAGTAATTGAAATAGTTTCCACCTACACGAGGAATTTCTGAATAAACAAAAATATGAACTTTGAGGAATAATTAGAAATGCACTGTTTGCAAGAATATTAATATTATTCAAAAGTACTTTAAATCATTTTAATATCATATAATTGATAACAAACATTTCATTTTTTCAAGTTTCTTTTGGCTTGATGTTAAAGAACAAATAATTTAGACTATTTATACGAGTGTCTTGTTTCATAAACATAAATAGTGAATGATATTTCCACAAAACCTACAACCAGAGCAAAGTGCCTAATGTATTTTTTTGATATTCACTAGGAAAGAAAATTGTACAAGACGATTTGTACAAACCTCTAAATTGAAAAATACAACATACTTCAGTATCAATGAAAAAATCAATAAAGTGGATAGATTTCAAACCTTTATTTTAACTTTCTTACGACACAGGCAATTGCGAATGACATATTTCATCCACGCACATTTTCTTCTCATGACATTTATCGCTTTATTTTCTCCCGTCTGAAAACTCTGCTTTTCTATTGCTTAAATATTGTAAATTTTTCACACCATTTTGAAAGTAACAATTTATACCAATCACAAAGCTACTAGTTAAGGTGCAATGATAATAATAAATGTTGCAATGTAGTAAATTAGTAAGATGTTAGAGTACAGCAAACCTCAGTATCATTCAATCATCAACAGAGGATAAAAGGATTCTTTATTTAAACATTCCTAATCCAAAAAAAAGATAGTTAAGTTTTGTTAAGAACATTTAATTGAAGTGAATCATATAGTTAATTAAAAATTTAAATAAACCATTAAATTATCGGCAATCCAATTAATTTCGTTCGATGGATCTTCATGTTTCATTCATTACGCGTTACAAAACAAGCAAGGCTACGTAAATTCAAAGAGTCCCACTTGTTCCGTATACATTAATAGTATTTTTAATTCTGTTTTCATGTATCAGAAATTTCGGTTTATATGCGATACCCAACCTCTCTCCTCGTACAATCTTCCAAAACAAACGAGATCAAAAATCATTTTAGTTTTTATACAGGATTGTTGTTTGTTCGATTCTTTAATTGATTAGTGCTTCCAGGCGCAACCAGTAATAAATTCATTAGTTCCCTACGTGTAGTGCATGTTTGCCTCAGGAGGTGGTGGTGAATTTCCCGCGCTAAATGGTGAGATCCAGTACCTACCCACACTTCGGCTTGCAAGGCTTCCCTCAAGTAGGTATCTACCACCAGTGGAGCACCGACCCAGCCGGGAAAAGCTCTAAGCTCTCGAATATGTGGTAGTGTGGTACATGTTCGTGTGTAAGGAAGGGATGGGGATAGGACAAGGAACGCGAAGAAAATATCTCGCGCGGTACATGGCACGGTACCTTTTGTTGGGGTACTTCTCCGGCATTTCCCAGGCGTTGATCGGAGAAACCACGGAAAACTATTTATCAGGGTAGCCTGCCGCTATAATCCTCGACCAGAAAGCGGCTGAATTCGTCCTAACTCTTTACTTTGTGTCAATAACCCTGCTACTGTGAGGACTCGAACCCCTGAACCTCTCGATCAGAGGCACTGCAGTAACATCAGTTGATGCCCCGAAGGAATGTTGTCTACACGCGCATTAACGTCTCTTCGTTATTTTTTTCTGTTTAATGATCTTAACACGAACAAGAAACAAAAACGACTCAACATTTTATTTTCACATCTATTCCCAATGCTCAAAACTAAATATGATAAACATTTGATATTTTAGGATCGCAGTGTTTTGACATCTAGACATTTTTTAAATATAAGCGCCTCTAAAATAATATTCAAAAGTATAAACTAAAGAATAGAAAAAACATAAATTAGATTATATTAAATATAAATTGCCTGTTTAAAGGTACGGTGATATTTTTGTCATTAAATCACAATTTAATCGCTTAGAATACTCATAAACAAAACCAGATATTAAATATTTTTTACTTTCCGCATCATACAAAACATTTGATTTAAAAATACGTAAACATTAATTATTCGAGTCTTAGAAGTGATAAATAGAAAGTGGATGGTAAAAGTGGCTTCTCGAAGAATATTATCAGATAATTTAAAGTTTGAAGAATAACACAATCGTAGTTGCAGAGATGAAAGCCAATGTCCTTCTGTGTTGCAGAGTTACGCGGACGAGGGCCACCTGCTGCAGGGCGTTCTCGAGCACGTGTACCGCTCCATGGAGGACTACCTGAAGGAGTGCCTTAGCCTGGACGAGGAGCAGTCGTGAGCGGGTGGCAGCGCTCTCCTCTGCCCGCGCCCGCCTTCCTCACAGCAATACCCACCACCACCACCACCACCACCACCACTGCCGCCACCGCCGCCACCGCCGCCGCCATCCGCGGCTCCGCACCGTCCCTGGTTCCCCGGCGTCCCGCTGCCGCGCCGCCGCCCAGCTTACTGCTCTGCCGTGCACTCGTCGCGCAGCGTAGTTTCGCGGCCTACGAACCTCGGCCGCCGCGGCGCTGCCCCGGGAGGAAGACGGGAGCAGCGACGACGGCGAAGACGCGGCATCCATCGGCGGCGGCGCGCGGCGGCGGCGGCGGGCGACGGCGGTCGGCAACGCGCGCGGAGACGGCCGACGGCGGTGGGGCGGCGACGGCGGCCGGCAGGCCCATCGACAATACGTTTCATACGCAGGTTTACACGGAACAGAATACAGCGATATGCACAGATCGCCCCGTTCGCGCCGTCGAACGCGCCAACGATAGAGAGAGCATAGCCGCTTCAAGGCGAGCCGACGCCCAGCGCCCTCGCCGTGCCCGGCAGCCTCAACGCCGCCGCCCCGCGTCTGTACTCACGTCTGTTAATACTACTCCCTCTACTATTACTACTTCTTGAGCGGCCTCGGCGGCGCGGGCGAGGGGGCGGCGGCGCGGCGGCGCGGGGGGGGCGACGGCGTTGGCGCCCGTGAGAGCCTTCGCCGAGCGCACCGCCCCGCGCAGCAGGCACTCCTCGTAGCACGACCAGCACACAGAGGGGCACAATCACTAAGAGACAACACCAACACACTCAAACGATCCACACGCAGACACGACCAATCGCGCGCGGACTCCACCGGCGCCCGTCGCGCCGCCTGTACCTCCAGCTGCTATTTCCAATACGTCCGTTACAAGATCTTTTTTTATATATTGCCTATACTACATATTGTCAGAGCCACAGAGTTTACAGTTTATGCGTCTTTTACCATATTAGGCCTAAGTACCTGTGTTGTCGGAAGACTTGTTTTTGTACGCGCGGGTCGAGGGCGCCCCGTGCGCGCACGCCCCTAGGCGGCGGCGCCGCCGCGCGTGGGCGGGTGGGGAGGGCCGGCGGCGCGCGGGCGCCGGAGCGGGCGGGCGGAGGGCGACGGCGGGGCGTGCGAGTGCGGCGCGGGGGCGCTCTCCTCGCCCCTCCCCACCCCCCTCGCGTTCCACGCGCGCCGCGCCCGCTTGCCGTACACGCGCGGCTGTAATGCAGAGGCGGCGGTGCGCGGCCCCACGAAGGCGCTTTGTATACTTTTTTAAGCCGTTTCTTTGAACGTTAATTCTTCCAGATCACTTTCAAATCTCTCTAAAAGACTATATACCTCTTGCCCGCACAGGGAGCCAGATGGTCGGCGGGGCCTCGGAGCGCGCGGACATGCGCGGTGCGGGGCGAGGGGGGACTGGGGCGCGGCAGTACGTTCGCACCGGGCCCCGTCCGGCTACTATCAGCGTCCCCGGCCCGCGCGCCCCGCCGCCCCCCCCCCGCCGCGCGCGTGGCCGTCGCCCCTGCCTCCCAAGACGCTCTTTCGATCGCTTCGAGGACACTGTCGTAGACCTAGCTGTTTGACTGTTTCAGATCGAATTTATCTCAGTGTAGCCTGCTGGCCTGTGCAGGCGGGCAGGACGCCCGTCCCGCCAGCCCCCGCCACGCGCCCGCTGGACTTCGACAAACGAAACTCCCCTCCCCGTTCGGGGTCCGCCCCAGCCTGCGCACCGCCTCCAGCCCCCACTGTACCTCATCTGGACTTCCCCGTCTATTGTCCCCCGCTCCCCCGCCCTCCTCCCCCACCGCCCCGCCCACCCCCGCTCTCCGCGCGCACGCTTCCCGCACCCACCTGCACCTAGGGCGCAGGAACTGCACGAGCAGCGCGCCCTAGCTAGCGCTTTCGCTAGACACGCTAGTCTCCGCTCGTAGAGACGGCCTGAACTCGCCTCAAGGCGATGTTCCTTTGCTTAGTCTCCCGCCCCGCCTCACCCCGCTCGCCCACATCCGCTCAGCTCTCTCTCCTCCGGAGCTTTCCCGTTCCCCGCTCTCCGCCCGATGCCACTCAGCCTTCCCCACCGTTTCTCTCGCCCGTCCGCGGCCCGTCCGCCCCCCCGCCCCCCGCCTGCCTCCGACCCGCCCTCGTCCACCCGCCCCAGCCCCCGCCCAACGACACAACTCGCGCGCGCCCGCCCGAGCGCGCTCTCCCACCGATCTCAACCGCCCAATTGTCCCGAGTCGCACAAACTCACGTTTACAGTGTTAGACAAGTCCTTAGTATGATTACATGTTCCTTTATATACATAATATTATTGTCAAAATGTCATATGTTTTCAATCAAACGTTACAGCATTTTGGACATTCAATTCACTATCCCTTTTTTCTGAAAAGCAGTCACGACCAGCTTCCTGCTGCCCCCGCTCCAGGCCGTCCTCCGCTCCCCTCCCTCCTCTGAGCAGGCGCCGCCACGTCCTCGCCCACACTCCCCGCCGCCCTCCGCGCGGGGTCTTCGCCGCCCGGCCGCCGCCCGCCCATGAGCCCTCGCGCCGCTCGCCGCCGCCGCCGCCGCCCGCCTGGCGCCTCCGACCCGCCCCCGGCCGCGCCTCCCGCGCCGCCGCCGCCCGCAGCGGCCGGCCTGCCACCCCGCCCCGCTCACTTCACTTCGAGCCAAAAATAGTCTGAGCCTTCAGTTCGGTTCACGTACGTCTCAGTTCCCACACCATGATGAAAAGACATGACGGGACTAGTCTGGCCGAGATTCTTTACTCTTATGCCAGCACCAGTTTATTACAACCACGCTGACGCGAAAGAACCACGAAAGACGCTAGCCCGCACGCTGCATGAGAGAACGAGAAGTGTGAGAACAATTCATTCAAAAGAAGCATACAATTGACTCGTTTCAAACATGAAACAAGCCAAAAAACACGACGACGGTGTACAAGATGCAATATTTAAAAAAATGCGTCATATAATCCAGTGACTAGTAACAAGGTGATAATTTTGGAATCTGGTTGATCTTAAAATTCCTGCTGATATTGTGACACAAACTGATACCTGAAGCTCATTGGCTAAAGTCGATACGATGTGCAATAGCTCACCCATGTTTTTCATCATGGCGTACACCGCTATCATATTCCGACTCCGTGATTGCTCAGTTGTTTTGAAAGAATATCCATTGGAAGACGTTCATAATTTGAAATAACTTTCAATCGATTAATATTGTAAGATTAAAAAAAAATCTTATTCGTAAAATCTTTCATTGATCAACACAGTTTCTTTTTAGATAGAAAAATCACCGATCGTCAATAAAATCGATTTCGTGTTTTAGCAAGTCATTCGCAATAAGAATCGGACTCCGTGATTGCACATTTGTCCTAAAAATACCCTTGGAAGAGATTCTGTATTTGAAATAAATAATTTTAATCGATTAATCGGGTCAAATCAAAAGCGTTTTTCACGAATTCTATCGTTGTTCGATCAGTTCTTTCTTTTAGGTGCACAATAATCAATCGTAATTGACATCCATTTCGTATTTTAGTGGCTCTCTGCGCCCCGCAATCACATTCTCGTGATTGCTCATTTGTTGTTAAAAAATCACCGTCCGAAGAGATTCAGTATTTTAAATACTTTTAATTGGTTAATCGAGTACAATAAAACGTTTGTTGTTCATTCGATCGTTATTCCAACAGTTGCTTGATTTAGGCATGAAAGTTATTTTCTCGACATTTAAAGACCACTGAAAATTTCTACGCAATTTTAGAGACCCTCCAGAATTTATTTTAGAAAAACGTTTCTTCTGCATTTACATGTATCTTTACAATAAAGAATCGGTTCTTACTTTTACCAGGATCATTGAATTTGACAGCCATTTTTTAACTTTATTCTTTGGTTTGTTTAAACAATAATTGCATCTTCTTGTTGTATCAACTACATAGTATTTATGATATTCTTCGTGTTGGTTTTTGGTATTTTCTATTAGTGTAAAAATAATATGATGGCAATATTTAATTAAAATTAATCGAATTTACCAAATCATAACCGATTCAATAATTAACTGTTCATATTGAAATATATAAAAACAGATTCTTTAGAACCAATTTTCATCAATTTAATTAACAATGTATTGATGGTACACCCTTAATGTTTCTATTTCGTGAACTTTTGGAGAAAATGTTTGGATAGTTATATTAAAAAACAGAATACGTACTAGGTATGCATTAACTTTTAGAAATGCTGGTGAGTTTCTTAGGTAAATAACGAAACTACAAGCCAGTAGGCTCCCTCGGGTGGCCCGTGGGATCGAGTGTTCGCTTTCCACGGCAAACCTGGGTTCGATTCCCCCCCCCCCGAGACAGATTGTAAACTGTCCGCTTTTCTTACAAATGTTCCAGTATCTATTGCTGCGTGACGATGATGAAGCCTACCCTAAGGTTAAGAAGACCAGAACGTACGGTCTTCGTGCTAACTACAAGAGCTTCTTATTCGATGGCCGAGAAACTGGGTCACGGCTGGTCGGCCAAGGCTAGTATAGGGTTGTCGAGCCAAGAATAGGAACAGATAAAGCAAATATGGGACATTTTAAAGGAAAGTAAAACAAAAGAGTTGAACTTGTGAAACTAAAAATATTTTTTCTTCAAATAATACTTATCTACATTTTTAGGATTCATCAAAGGAATACAGGTTTAAAATCATTGATAACAATGCAATTTACTTCGTAAGTTCAAAATTATTTGTAATAATTGAAATGTTGACTGAATATCAACTCCATCACTTTCATAAAAGTTACCCAAGTTTGCCCTTTAATAAAAAACGTTTGTACTCGTTAGTGTTGAGACCTCATGAAATATGATCATCAATAAATCGTTTCTGAAATAGGATTAATTACTTGGCTCTAAGAAGTTTACCGGTTAACACCAAACGACATAAAAATACAATTTCATAAAGTAATCATTATATTTACTTTCATCACACCAGATTTTGTACACTAATAAAGCAAGCGAC